CCCCCCCGGGACATCACATCCACCTCCTGTTCAAGAGGAGGCCATGGAAATGATCCAAGGGCTGGGACAGCTCTGCTGGCACGGCTTTGCTATGGAGACAGGCTGAGAGAGCTGGGGTTGTTCAGCCTGGAGAAAAGAAGACTCCAGGGAAACCTCAGAGCCCCTTCCAGTATCTAAAGGGTCTCCAAGAGAGCTGGAAAGGGACTTTGACAAGGGCCTGGAGTGACAGGACCCACTGCCAGAGGGCAGGGTTAGATGGGATATTGAGAAGAAATCCTTCCTTGTGAGAGTGGGAAGGCCCAGGCACAGGTTGCCCAGAGAAGCTGTGGCTGCCCCATCCCTGGGAGTGTCCAAGGCCAGGTTGGACGGGGCTTGAGGCAACCTGGGCTAGTAGAAGGTGTCCCTGTCCATGGTAGAGGGGTTGGAACAAGATGAGCTTCAAGCTCCCTTCCAACCCAAACCATTCTGTCATCCCATGACTGTTGAAATCCCCCTGATCAGACTGGAGCAGGGTGTGGGTCTGCAGGAATGGGGATGTGACCACCTTGGCTGCCCACCTGCCCCTGCTGCACGAACCCACTGCAGCCCCCTCTGGGCCCCCCAAACCCCATGCTAAGCTCAGAGATGGACACAGGGTCCAGCTCCCACTACCTGGCACAGGACACAGAACTGCCTTGCTGCTGACCCTGCACATCTCCCCGGGCAGGTGGATAAAGTTCGAGGAGAAGGTGGAGGATGGTGGGGAGCGCTGGAGTGCACCCCACGTGCCAGCCCTCCCCCTGCACAGCCTCTTCCAGCTGAGGACATGCCTGCAAAAGGGGACGGTGCTCCTGGATCTGGATGCCGCCAGTTTCAAGGAAATAATCGGTACATGGGTAGTGCAGAAGTCATCTCCTGGGATGGGCTGGTCCCTGGAGAAGGACAGGCCACCAGGAGGTGCCTGTAGAACAGCACTGGTGAATGACAGCCGGGCACCTGGCGTGGCTGCTGCTCCAGCTAAGGGGGCTTTTCCCTGGGCAGCAAAGCAGGGGGACTCAGGGCTGTCCCTGTCCCTGCTGCAGACAAGGTGCTTTCTGGGCATCCCGAGGAAGCAGAGCTGCATCCTGCATTGAGGGAACGCCTGACAGCCCTCCTGCTCCTCCAGCCACGGCACCAGCCCACAAAATCCCTGCTACAGCTCCTCGCCGAGCTCACCCTCTCTCCCTGCCGAGGTATCCCACCAGGAATCCTTCCAGTGCCACCAGCCCGGGGCAGTGTCCACACTGCCTGTTCACTTGCACATGTGGGTCTGCAGGAATGGTTTCTTCCCTTTCTTTGCAGGGAAGGCCAAAGGCAAGTCTGAGCCCAGAGCCCAGCTCTCCAAAACGCCTCTTAAGGAGCAGGTAAGGCGGGAAGGAGCTGGGCTGGGAGCAGCTGCTGCATCCCAGGTGCCCAGCTGCTGCATCCCTTTTCTTTCAGCTGAGAAACCGCTTTAGGAAGAAGGTCCCCCCGGGAGCTGAAGCTGCCCACGTTGCTGTGGGTGAAGTGGAATTCCTGGAGAAGCCCGTCTCTGCCTTCATTCGCCTCAGGCACGGGGTGTCCCTCGGCTCATTGGCTGAAGTTGCTCTCCCCAGCAGGTAACAGAGCACGGCCCATGCCCCTGTTCCCTCTTTGTCCCTGTCTCCCCATTCCCTCCCACACCACACAGGGCTTCGCTTGGCCAAAGCAAAGGGAACTGCAGCCAGTGCCACATACAGTCCCAGAATCCTGTCTCACTGCTTCCCTTTCGGCTTTCCCCAGCTCCTTAGGAGCATTTCGGGATGGGCTGAGAGCGGAGTATCTGTTGGGCAGCCTGGGAGGGACATCCCCTGGGTCATCCCCATCCGGGGTCTGCATTCCCTGTCCTTAGGAGGCTCTGGATGCTCTCCACTTACTGCCGGGAGCGCGGGGCTGGCGGCGGGACGCAGGTTCGCAGGAGTCTCTTGCCCTCCCGCTGCCTACGAGCAGTGGGACGGGGTGGGGGGAAAGAAGAAGGGAAAGAGGTTTTCCCCCATGGCTGAGGAACGCAGCTGTGAGAGTAAATGGTCCGTGTGTCTCTTGAGCTGGGCGCTTCCTTCGGGAGCGCGCGGAGGAGGCAGGCGGGGATCAGGAGGGACATTGCCACCTCCTGGTCACTCTGCCCAGAGCACCCGTCCTGCAGGAGCTGGGAGGAGCAGGACATCCACCCACCTGCCGCTCTGTCCTAGGTGGCAGACGGGTGGCAGGTCCCCGTGGGTATAGAGGGTCTCATGACAGCCCCTTGCCCTGAATTTTCCCCCCTCAAACAAGAGGGGAGAGACAGCCCGTCCCTACCCATCCCTTTGCCCATGGTACCATCCCCTTTGGTGGCCATGCCAGGCTGTTCCAAAGGCACAGCCACCACCTCGGGGCTGTCTCCCTCTCAGGTCCATCTCCAAGGTTTTAAGGTTTTCACATCGATGTGGTTCAGATGGCCGGGTGACAGCAATCCCGGGTGGCTTCTGTCACCTCCCATCCCCTTGGAGCAGGCTCCAGGGGACCTCCAGCCCCACATCAGGGCTGCAGCAGGTTCTGCTGAGCCCCACTCAACCCCACTCATGCTACTGGAGGAGTTTCCCTGTCCCCTCTCTGACGTTTGCTTAGGGTAGTGTCCTGGAACCGCTCGGCAGCCTCAGGGTTCCAGGACTGTAACAGTTTCTGCCAGTTTTGGAAAGGAGGGGAGGGCTTGGTTAAACATTTGGCTGGACTGTCCCTCTGTAGACCTCATTATTTTGCACCATCCTCTGAGGTGTGGGATTTTCACCATATTTTATCAAGGACCCTGAGCTCTCTTCCCAGTCTCCTCCCATGTCTCCCGAGTCCCATCAAACCTGCTGCCCATGCTGCCAGCAGGCTCTCCTTCCCTAACACTCCTGCATCCTGCCTGTGAGCAACATTCCCGGGAGCATGATCCCACAGACACCCCCAGCCAAGACCTTGATCCCACAGACACCCCCAGCCAAGACCTTGATCCCACAGACACCCCCAGCCAAGACCTTGATCCCATAGACAGCCAAGGCTGTCTCCTCCTCTGCCCCAAACACCTCTCCCCCCACACCCCCAGCGCCAGTTTCTGCAGACCCTGTGATCCAGTGGGGTCCTGGCATCCCATGTTGTGGGCTCTCCATGCAGTGGCAACCCTCTTAGGGTGGTCACTCCTTAAGGTGGCAGAAGCCCTCCAAGCCTGGCCAGCTGCTGTCCCCAGCATCCCCATGGTCTCCCCTGGGAGAAGCATCCCCCAGGGAGCAGAGGGCTGCTCCAGAGCTGTGCTGTCCCACTCACAGGTTCCTCTTCATCCTGCTGGGTCCCCCCAAAGTGAAAGCCTACCACGAGGTTGGCAGGGCCATGGCCACGCTGCTGATGGATGAGGTGAGCCTGGAGCAGCACCCATGACTGGGATGGGCCTGGGATGGTGACACCGGGGCTCTTCTCCTCTGCAGGCTGCAGTGGAGGGCAGAGGAGGGGGTGAACTGGTGCTTTCCCTTGCCTAGGATAAGAAAACTAAGGTTTGGGGTGGGTCTGTAGGATGTAGGGGCACTGGTTGCGCTGAAGTGGGTGGGTTTGTTCCTTGGTGAAGGCTGCAGGCTGGGAGGAAGGCTCCAAGGGGCTGAACGCAGGGACATGGTGGCTAAACCACAGCACCTCCCCACAGCTCTTCCAAAGGGTTGCCTGGCAGGCTGAGCACCGAGAGGACCTCATCACAGGGATGGAGGCGTTCCTGGATGAGCTGATTGTGCTTCCTCCTGGGAAATGGGACCCCAGTGCCCGAATTCCTCCGCCGAGCTCTCTGTCATCTCCGTGCAGGAGGTGGGCTGAGGGGAGGGCACCCCAACCTCTGCCAGCCCCTCTGCAGGGTCCGGGGGGGCACACCCCCACCTGTGACATTGAAACTTCCATCTCCATGGGGATGAAGCTGCCCTGGAGCAGGGAGGTCCTCCCAGCTAAGCCCCTCTGACACTCCAGCCAAGGACCACAGCTCCAGTCCCTGATGCTGTTAGTCCTGCTGTCCCACTTGGCAGGGGGTGGCAAAACCACCCCATATGCCCTTCAAAAAGAGCTGCTGGGAATGCTGGGATTCAGCACTCAGATGTGAAGCCCATCCTCTGAGCAGGACACCCCGGGCTCTGCCCTGCTGCTCCAACAAAACTAGTCCTGTGAGCTCTGGCTCCAGGGCTTGCTGGAGGAGATCGTGGTTGGGTTGGAAGGGACCTCTAAAGACCACCTAGTCCAATCTCCAGTCTCTCCTCCTCCTCCTGGTCTTTCTCCTCCCCATTTTCAGGGGGATACACAAGGTCCCCCAACCCTGCTGGCACCCCTGTCCCCTCTCCATCCTCCCTTTGCCCTTATAGTGTCCCCTAGGTGCAGCTGGCCCCTGAGGGTCCCAACCTGAAGCCTGTCTCAGGCTCTGTTCTGCCATAGGACCGCTGTGGACCCACCAGACCAGCAGCCCCATGGCAACGGGGGCATGGCAGCAGCTGGGGACAGAGCCAGCCCAGGGCACCCACGCTCTGGGGAGGAGCTGGAGAGGACGGGCAGGTGGGTGCCTGGAGGGACGAGGTGATGGGTGACGGATTGGGGGCAGGGCACTGGCTGTCATGGGGCCACCAAGCCCCTCTGAGCTGGTGTTTCCCAGGGAAGGGACCATCCCTTGCTGGGTGACTGTGTGGGGGGTGATGCCCAGCTGTGGGGGCTGCTCTGAGACCTCCCTCCTCTCCTCTGCCCCAGGCTTTTCGGGGGGCTGCTGCGCGACATCCGCAGGAAGGCACCGTGGTACTGCAGTGACTTCTCCGACGCCCTGCACCCCCAGTGCCTCTCGGCAGTGCTCTACATCTACCTGGCCACGGTCACCAACGCCATCACCTTTGGGGGCATGCTGGGGGATGCCACTGCCAACATGCAGGTCAGCACAGCCCTGGGGTGCCCGGCACCCACCCGGAGTGCTCAGCCCAGCCCATGGGGCTCCTTGGTGCCCACCTCCCACCAGCGCTCCTGGAGCATCCTGAGCATCAGCCCAATCCTCCTCCTTCCCCCAGCACTGACCCTGCACTGTGCTGCTGGGAGGGACAGGCCCAGGACCCCCCTCCCTGCCGTGTGCCTGGCACCCCTTCCCTGCATTTCAGGGGGTGCTGGAGAGCTTCCTGGGCACGGCCTTTGCTGGCTTCATCTTCTGCCTCTTTTCGGGCCAACCCCTGACCATCCTGAGCAGCACCGGCCCCGTGCTGGTCTTCGAGCGCCTCCTCTTCTCCTTCAGCCAGTGAGTTCCCTGGCAGGGGTGGATCCTCAGGCCACTGTCCCCTGGATGGGGCACGGGCCACCATCACTGCAGGCGGGTGTCGGTTGTGAGGTTTTGGGTCACTCATTCCCCCCGGGCCACAGCGGGACCTACTGCGAGTCCGCCTCTGGATTGGGCTCTGCGGTGCGCCTATTTTTGGCCGTGGAGTTGCTGGTGGGCCACTGAGGCAGGTCACTGGTGAAGGCACTTCACCCGCTTCACCGAGGAAGGCTTCTGTGCACTCATCAGCCTGATATTCATCTACGACTCCCTGAAGAAGATGCTGAGCCTGGCAGATGCCTTCCCCATCAACTGGCAGTACCGGCTGGACAACGTCACCTCCTACAGCTGCACCTGCAACTTGTCCAGCCCCGGTGAGCCCAAGGGCTGCAGGTGGGTGGGGAGCAGGAGGCTGCTGCCTCAGGACCCCACTGGAAACCTGCTGCCTGGCCAGATGCTGGAGGAGGCTGTTTAATCCCATCCTCATCTGCCCGACCACATTGCACCTTCCTCCACTTCCCTCCATGTGGTCTGTCCATCCATCCCTGCCTCCTGGAACTGCCCTGGCACCAGACAGGGCAGTGCCAGGAGCACAGAGAGCCTTGGCCTGGCCCCTGTGGCTCCAGGATGGGGGATGGCAGGGGCTGGAGGGGTTTGCTCTGCCATTTCTAGCCCAGTCTGTAAACCAGAGAATGTTTCCTGGGGCTTGAAGATGTGTCCACAGTGACCCTGGAAACAGTGCCCACACCAAAAGGATCAGTGCTAGGCCAGCCTGGGGACAATGGTGCATCCTCCCTTGGTGTTCTCTTGGCACCAGCCAGGCCCAGGACCTCCAGGATCCCATGAGGCCCCACGCAGCATCCCGAGCCCTTGGGGAGAGCCTGAGGACCCACACTGATGGCAGCACTGTCCCAGTTATCCCTGATGGAGCCAGCAACACCCTGACCCTCCTTCCCCTTGCAGGTCACAGCTCTGCAGGGAATGACACACTGCTGCCCTCGCCCCTGCTCCCCCCACAGGTACAGCCTCTGCTCCCAGGCAGGTGGGCGAGGGCTGGGGTGGGCCCAAAGCGTCCACGCACAACCCCTCCTCACCTCCTGTCCTGTCCCTGCAGCCTCCCGTCACCCCAGAGGGGCTGAGCAGGACCCAGTGCCTGGACCGAGGCGGGCACCTCCTGGGCACCAGCTGTCAGTACGTGCCCGATGTCACCCTCATCTCCTTCCTGCTCTTTGGGGGCACCTTCCTCTCCTGCGCCGCCCTCAAGCGCTTCAGGAGCAGCCGCTACTTCCCTGCTGGCGTGAGCATCCCTCTGCCACCCCTGTGGAATGGCCACCCATCCCATCGGTGTGGGGATGGCTCCAGGGGAAGCTGCTGGAGCAGCCCCCCCCCCAGGCACCCCAGGAACCCTTTCCATCTCCACGTGCAGGTGCGGAAGCTGGTGAGCGACTTTGCCATCATCCTGGCCATCCTCGCCTCCTGCGCCGTCGATGCCGCCCTGGGCCTGGAGACCCCCAAGCTCCTTGTTCCCAGCGAGCTGAAGGTGCTGGCAGGGTGGGCACGGCACTGTCAGGGCGTGGGGCTGTGCCCCCCACAGTGGCAGTGCTGTCACTGTCCTTCCCACTGCCAGCTCCAGCCCTACAGGGGTGTGTGGGCTCTATGAGCAAATGAGAAGGGGCTGAACACATCCCATGCTCTGTAAATAACCTGGCTCAGGCCCAGACTGACCCCATCCCTGTACAGCTCACACTGGAGCGAGAGCCACAGGCTCACCTCTGGGCTTGGGCTCCCTGCCCTGGGTGTGTGGCAGGGCTGGCAGTGGCTCAGAGCAGCCCATGCTCGCTGCCACCCCCCTGGGCTCACCATCATTGCTGCCCAGTGCTACCTCTTCCACCTGCTCCTGCAGGCACATGCCCAGCTCCTGGCTTGTGGTGTCCAAGAGCAACCCCCTGCTCTGCTACAGCCAGGATGTCCTTGTAGGGAATGTGGTAGGTCACGTTGCTCAGGAGCATCCCCAGGATAAAGGAGGATGCTC